GCGCATGATCTTGTTCACACCCAGTCGGAGCTCTGGTCCACGAGCTTCTTGGCGGTGGCGGCATCCAAGCGCACCTGGAGCTCGGGCCTGCGAGCCACCGCCGCAACGTGGGCGATGGTGAGGCTGACGCCCTCCAAGGAAACGAAAGTGGACTCGGAGAACGTCCTGATGAAGCTCTTCACCTCGTCGAGGTGGCTGCCTTCCATGGCTTTGGCGGTGCGCTTCCAGTTCAAGGGGTCCGCGGACAGAGCAGGCAGGGGCGCACTGATACAGAACGCGCTGGAGTCCACAAGCATGGGGTCGTGGTGGCCGTTGCTGTGGTCCACGCCGTTGCAGTGGTCGGTGCCCCGGTTGTCAACTTCCTGTCCTGGCATTGCCATCGGCATGGTGTAAGTTTCGGTTCACAGCGACAAGGAAATTGTCGGATGGATCAGAGCCAGCTGCAGTCCAGCGGCCGCGACGTTCTCTTAGCAGTTGGTGGTCGGCAAGCCAACCGATCCTGATCAGAGAACAATTCTGACCAGCATGCGAGTATGTGCAACCCCAGATTGGCGTCGGTCTCAGTCCTGCATTTCCTTAGAGCCCTTCTCCTGAACGCTGGATACCGATCTTCCCCCAACCACGACTGCTGAACCGCTATCGATTTTTCAAATAGACCAGTTCCTAGTATATTACCGCTCCCTATCCGCCTCGCTACTTTCTACTCATGCGCCTGCTATGGAAGAATGGCTGAGTGCAGTCTAAACTGTATACGGGCTTGTTGACATCCCCGACAACCACCAGTCCTCCGTCGATGAAGAGGCAGTTGCTGCAGACTCGTTCTAGCTATATGAAGATGACCTTGCTCTACAAACTAAGTGGCGAAATATAGATACCGAACCACGAGTTGGAATCACCTGGTGGGGTCCGCAGGTCCGGATCGATCGATGATCTGGAGCGTTCGATCACTTGGCGCATGTTCGAGTGACCAAGTGCTGCCCACGCGACGCTCGCACAGTTAGCAGGTGCAGCCGATGGAAAGGGTGTCCGAGGTCACTCATCGGGTGCAAGCTCCCTAGGCTGGATGATGAAAATTGGCTACCGGAACGGGAAGCTTTCGTGGACGCTTTTTCTCGCTATTGACTAGAGACGCAAGAAAAGAACGCAGTTCAACCATGAAAGGAAGGAACCCACTGGGTCGGTCCATTGACGATATCGGGAAGTCATTCTGATCCTAAATTTGGTGAGGCGTAACAGCGGCTTTTTGATATCAGTTATCTTAGTTGCGGAGATATTTGATTCTTTGGTCAAATACTGCGCTACTTTCCCCGTGGTCTTCCTAGACTTCATTGACTGCAGTTTTGAGGGGTAGAGCACGGTGAGATGCAACCGTAAACAGTCTGGATCAGTGAAAGGGGGGTGTCTTAACTACGCGTCTCTTGGATCATTTCGCTGTTGATCCCTGACTGGCGGTGGGTTGCAATGCACTTGTGAAAAGCTGTACAAGCAAGCTGCAGAGATTAGGCTTTGCCGGTGCTAGATAACCCAAGGTGAAGTTAATTGCAGTGAGCAACGTGTAGCCATGCAGGCGGGCAACCTGGTAACTCCAGGGCTTGCAGGTAGGTTGGTCCTCCACGCACCAACCCTTGACCCACGGCGATCGATTGGCGAGAGACCATGTTTCTGGTTCCCTGAAGTTGGTGGTTACGTGATCAAAGAGGGAATCAGTCGGTTTGGTCGTGTCCTGGCTGACACTGCAATGACACTGCAAGGCGGTTGGTCCCCGTGCTCTCGTGCGGGCAAACCCGAACGGTGGTCTTCGAGCCCAATCCCGGGGCAGCCAGAGCAAAATTCGTGTGACTTATTCGCAGAAAGGTGCAAGCTGCAAGAATTGTTAATGTTTTGATTAGGGCGCCCTCATGAAGCATGACTTCCATAATTTCAAAGAAGGTTGTCTGGATAGAGATGGTGTTGGGCGGGATGATTTGGAAGCGGCTTCATGGTCAATCGTTCCAAGTCAAATTGGGGCCACAAATCCTGGAATGGTCAGCAAACGTCCACTTCTTGCCGTCAGGGCTTCGGTTCACCTATGACTAGAAAAACTCCACAAGCTGTAACATGTTAGGACGTTCAGGAGTGAACTGTAAGTCCCATGACCTTTTACATCACCGAAAAGTGATGGGATACAACTGCAGCCGGGGAGTGTTTTGGTTTATACCAACCACAATGGTGGTGAGATTTGGGAGCTTCAAGTGAACAGTTGGACCAACCAAGGAAGGATGGGAAGCTGGTTGGTGTAGGAGATGTGATGAGACCGCAATATTATGCCCCTGGGTCGTCAGCCCTTGCTGTAGGTCACCCTTTGGCGAGACATGAAGGAGTCCGGCAAATTACTGCCGTGGCTGGTCTGGTGGCTCGACTCAACGTCAACCGATGCGGGCACTGACGTTGGACACAGGAACCAGGCCATCCACAGTGGTTCACAGTTGTTGGATCGCAGGGAGCGAACCCCAGCACCGGGTCACGCCCCCACATTCAAACAAGGTTCGTCAACCCATGCGAAAGTGGGAACCCTAAAGCGGTGTCCAAGGGAGAACTCAGCACACAGAGGGGGCACTTTCTCACACTCGCAGCACCCAGCTTTGAAGATGGGGGAGTCCCCCACGACTGGAAATGTAAACGAAAGTGGGCTCAAGCGGGCACCTGGCGGCAGCTTTTTGGGGTCAAAGCCATGTCAAATCCTGTTTGGCGCAATACCTTTTTCAACGCCAAATCTCTTTTGATGCGTTGCGATTCTGCGGAGAGCATTTGGCGGAGTAGCAGCGCCGAGAGCGGGGGGCCCATCTTCGTGGCTGGAAGAGTCATAAAGCCAGTCTTCGATGCGAGAAAGGGGGAAGAAGGGCCTGCCTGGGTGAAGGTTTTGGAACAGTGTATGGGAGTAATGGAGCAAGTCGGAAACATGGCAAGAAAATCAACACTAACTCAAAGCGTTGAAAGTCATTTTTTTGGAAACTTTGGCTGAATATGGCAATGGAACACACGAAAGTCCAATCAGTTTGAGATTTGGTGTTCGAAGGAATAAATAGTGATTGAAGAATTATTGTTTATTCTAGAACCGTCATGCCTCAAAAGGGAGTGGATTTGTCACCATTCTCTGCGGCTGTTGTGTTTTTTTGTACTACGTTAATTATTTGGATTGTGCTAGTTTAATCATTTATCCAATCCAATTTAAATATAGCGCTAATGAACATTTTATTTCAAGTTTCTTAGTAATTGTTGGAACTTAATATAATCTCTTAGTTAAGGATTTGTTTGGCATGTTTTGTGAAAATGTGCATTTTAAACTTTCTTGACAATAGGACCATAACACATGTAACAATTGTTTTAGAGAATAAATTTCAAATAGGTATTTAGTGGCAATTGAGATTGTTTATTATGTTTCATAAAAACTTATTATTATAGTAATTATTATTTATCCACTGTTTGACTAATCTTTTATGAACATTTTATATAATTATTTTATTTCTTTGTTTTTCTTTGTCTTAAATCTATTTTCGAAGCTCAAAAAGTAAAAATGAAACTTTAATTACATTGATAAATAAATCATGGAAGAATTAGAATAAATTATATAAAAAATACTATCAATTTTATAAAAAGTTATAAATTTTAATGTAAAGATTTTAAATTTTTTAAGAAATTTTGTGCTTAAAGATATTTTGTTATAAATATAAGATACATTAGGTTTTCTTTGATTGTTTTATATTCCAAACATTCTTTAAAAATTATAATCAAATATTAGATTTTTAATAAAGATTTTGAAAGTGTAATAAATATCTTTTTAAGACAATATTTTGTTCATTAAAAAGATTAAGCAATCTTCTTACTCTTCTTAATAAACTTTGATTAGATATTGATATTAAAATAAGTTTAAATACTAATTCTAAAATAATTTTGAAATTTATGAATCTTCTAATCTTTTATTTTCATATATATATATATATATAAGGAGTTGTTAAAGCCACACCTTCCTTGCTACTTCATAATCCATTTTGTACATGTTTCCTTTCTCCAACCTCATTCTCAACCACTATTGCTTATTTTCATGCTTTGTTCCTAGCCACTATTTCCACCTGCCTTCACAGTAAATATAAGTACAAGTCAAATTGATTAAAATGAAGCAAAAATCATGAATTAGGTATAATAAATCCAAAGCAGAGAAATTTAATAAAATAATTTCTAGTTGAAGAATATCAATTTAAAAAATTCTTAGCACATTTTTTAATATGATTATACATACATGCATATAAAATAATACTTTAATATATTAAAATATTAATTTATATTTATTCATGAAAATAAAAAAACTTATTGTAAATATTTCTTAAAAAAAAAAATATATATATATATTTAAACTATATGGTACAAAGCCATAAGATAGTATATACTAATTTCATATAAATGTTTTCTTTCAAAGAATCAATATTCCATAGCATTGTGTATTCTTTTGATATACTTGTAACAAGTTTCATGTAGGAAATATAAATTTTGCTAAATTTTTTTTTATTAATATTTTAATTTATAATATATATATATATATATATATATATATATATAAAATTTAAATTATAAAAAGAATCATTTTGAAGTTAGCTATAATTTTCATTTGTGAAGTCAAATAACTTTTAGAATAAAAATAAAATATCAATAAGCTAGTAAATTCAATTTTTTTTTAGATTTATATTCCTATCATTAAAATTAAAAATTATTTTATTTATTATTTTATACTTAAAATATAAAACTATGAATTTATTATTTTTTACTTTATAGAAATTAATTCTTGAAGTTGTGGTTTATAAATCAAATGATTTGATTTTTTTATAGTTATTAACATAACATTTCATTGAAATAAGATTGTTTAACTTTATTAATATGAATATTAGATGAAATTGAAGATGGTTCCAAAAATAATTTATTTAAGAGTTTTTAATTTTTTTTATAATTACAAATACTTCTAAAAATGCCAAAAACTTGTCACATTCTCAAATATGATATGTTGTATGTAAATAAATCGAGATATTTTTGTATATTTTTACATAGATAATAAAAATATAAATCTACAGCAACTAAAGAAGGCTGAAATATATAATTTATATAATTATTTGAATAATATTTGATAGTCTAGAGTCTTTAATCTTCATAAAATCAAATATAATAGTAAATATCTTCTTTTATGTGTAATATGTGAAACAAATTTATTTTGGTGATCATCTTTGAAACTTAATTAATTTTTTTATAAAATCCACTAATAGCATGGTACTTTGATACATTAGTTTAATAATATTCATGATATAATTAATAATTCTATAAAAAAAAAAAAAAAAAATACTTACTTCATGTTATCTTTTTA